GCCATCCCCAGTGGATCCCAAGCAGATCCCTCACTGCTGCTGGGATTTATTGTCCCTCCCCTCCCAAGCCATCCCCAGTGGATCCCAAGCAGATCCCTCACTGCTGCTGGGATTTATTGTCCCTCCCAAGCCATCCCCAGTGGATCCCAAGCAGATCCCTCACTGCTGCTGGGATTTATTGTCCCTCCCAAGCCATCCCCAGTGGATCCCAAGCAGATCCCTTACTGCTGGCGGAGCTTGCGGCAGCTCTCGATGTGGGAAGGGTTGTTCTGGTGCAGGATCCAGTCCTGGGGGGGAAGGACAGCCAGAGAGGTTGGATGAGAGTGGAACATGTCAGCACTGCCCACAGTCTCTAGTGATGTTTGGTGTGTTTTGCCTTCCACCACATTTTTACCTTAGGAACGATCTTAAGGTCAAATTTCCACTTGGGATATTAAAAGCACTAAGACATTATCACCACAGGGTGTCACAGAACACAAAGGTGAACAGAATGCATCATGTTCCATGAAACAAATGGAGGAATGAACCCCCCCAGCACCCCGGGGGCTGTCACCACACGGATCAGGAAAGGCTGATCCAATAACTGGGCAAATTAAAGGAAATAAAGCCATTATTGGCTTTCACAGCCTGTCAGACCAATGAGCACCCCCAGCAAACCCAGAACCCCAGACGTGGCATCTCCAAGTCAAATCTCATTCCCACCCCAGCCTGGCTTCCCACGCCTGGAGCCCCAGAACATTCACCCCCAATCCCGTCACGGCTGAAGGTCACTGCAGAGCCTCGGGACGTTCTTCACACACACACTGATTTATTTTACACTAAAGAACCTCAGCAAGGGTTTATCTTGAGGAAAACTGAGGGGTTCAGTAGAGACAGTGCAAGCCCTCCAGCTTGAAAAATATCTTAATCTTACTTACAAATCCTTAAGCTCAGGTTTAACTGTGAGCACAGACAGTCCCCCGTGTGGGGAGCTGGGGGGCAAAGGAGCCAGTTTGCTGTGGAGAAGGGATATTCCGTGGCCTGAAACTCTAAGGTGTAATGTATTGGTGATAATTATTAAACATTCCTAAAAAACCAACTTCCAGCTGCTCTAGGAGTATAAAATACAATCGGACATATAATAATTAATATAAAATAACAGCTGTATAACACAGCTGGCAGGCCGGGCTGGGCAAATAATTCCCAGCTGTGAAATTCCACGTCACTTTTCCCAAGCACAAGCTGGTCTGGAAGACAAAAGATGCTCCACCGTGTCTCTGGCAGCACCAAACCCTCTTGTTCCTCTGCCAGAGCTCTGACACAGAGCTCGTGGTAGGAGGGGAAGGATCCCTGGGAAGGGCACAGCTCCGGCTGGGAATGGCCGTTCCTGGCACTCACTCCACCGGCTCAGATGTGCTCCAGGACTTCCCAAACTCCCAGAAACCTTCCATTGTGGGATCAATGGAACTAAACTGCATGTGAAGCACAAGACTTGGTGTGGCTTCCTGCAGGCACCGACAACCCACCTCGAAAGGCACTGGAGGATCCACTCACCGTGTTCCCAACGTTCTGCTCATCCCAACTGCCCCAAACGAGGCAGGAAACCTGTTTGGGATCACTCTGCATCCAGCTCATGAGTCAGAAGCAGCAATTCACCATCACACACTGGTTTTCCCTAATTCCAGGCCATCTCTAAGCAATCCTGTTCAAAGGATCCCATTTTTCCAGTCAGTTTAGCCAGGACACAAGGGCTAAATCAAACGAGCTGGTAGAAATTAAAGGGAATTTGGCTCCCAGAATTCCACTTCCACGGTGCCAGAGAAGGGGACACGGTGCCAGTGAGGCCCAGGGAGGGCATTTGGTTTCCAAGTGCCTCCAGCTGCTGATCCAATGCCGTTCCCGGGATTACAAAGGGAGATTCTCCTCCCAGTAGACAAGGACAACGTTCTTCTCTTTGCCAAGTCTTCGCTGTGCCAAAGCCCTCCTGCATCCCAGAGCTACAGGAGTCTGGATTTATGGATGTTGCTCCTCTTTGACTCATTCCTGGCCCTTCTCAGTCTTCGGAAATATTCCACTGTCTACAGACTCATCACAAAATCCCAGAAAAGTCTGGGTTGGAAAAGTCCATCTCATCCCACTCCTGCCGTGGGCAGGGACACCTTCCACCAGCCCAGGCTGCCCCAAGCCCCTTCCAGCCTGGCCTTGGACACTCCCAGGCATCTCTGGGCATCCATCAGTCTCCAGAGACGGATCCCTCCCCCCCAGGACAGGATCCCTTCCCATCACATCCTGCTAAGAGGAAGAACTTCCATCCAGACTCCTCCAGCAGCTGCTCCACACCCCAACTTCCCCCTTCCCTCATCCCAGCCCGCCCTCCTCTGCCTCAGGGATCCCTCCTCTGCCTCAGGGATCGCCACCAGCACGGTCCTGACACAGCTGGGGAGGGGGCAAAGTGTCTCCAGTCTCACACTCCCCTCAGCAAAGGAATTCCCAGTGCAATTCTCCGTGGAAAACAAGGAGTCCCTGTGACTTCATGCGTTTCCAGGTCCAAGACGCCGCCACCGTCCCTTTACACCGGTTTGGAGGACAAAGCTTGTGATAAATACACAGGAAACACGATCCCTCTGTGCTGGGAACTCTGCAGATCCACTGGAAACATGATCCCTCTGTGCTGGGAACTCTGCAGATCCACTGCATTCCAAACGGGATGGGTTTGGAGGCGGAGACATCCCGCTTTGTTATCCCAGCACAACACGAGCTGGAGTGGGACATGGAGCTGCTCTGTGGAATATTCATACACACTGAGGGGTTTGGGAACAGCTGAGAGGAGACAAGAGGGAGGTGACATTCCACCTGACCGAGGGCAGAGCTGGACACTCTGCCCTGAAAACCTTGCAGGACACGAAGACACCAATCTTTGAGAACACCTTCCAGGTCAAGCAGCACCAATTTATGTCTCCAATCCCATTTTTAAGGCTCAAAAAGCCGACCTTGTGTGAGGGTTTCCTTTCCTACAACCCTGAGGGAGCCACAGGGACCTCCCCAGACTCACTGAGGTGGGAAAAGCCCTCTGAGATCATCCAGTCCAACCTCCCCAGCACTGCCAAACCCACCACTGACCACGTCCCTCCCTACACAGCAGAAACAAGTGGGATCTGTCCCCTTTGGGATGCTCTCCAAACCCACCTTTCAGCCCCTGGGCACCTCCACTGACCCCAAACCCACGATGTCTCAGGCAGGTGAGGGGCCTGTTGACCTGCCATCAGTCACTGCACCCCAGGGTCATCCACATCTTACCAGAAGGGTTCCAAGTCAAAAAATATCTGTTTTTCACAGGCAGATCCAGCACAACTCCGGATGCAGATGGGAGATACCACAACTTGTGACTTCTGAACTGTGTATTAGCCAAAAACCACCTCAAAAACACATCAGAGTCTGCAGGAGGGAGGTTCAGGATGGTTTCTTCGTTATAGAAGAGCGAGAAAATACATTTTCTGTCTGACACTCCAACCTCTGTGTTTTGGTACTGCAGATACCCCCAGGCCATCTTCAGCTTGGATTTCATCAGAGCTCCTTGATTCGGGGAGATAATTAAGGCAGAGCTGCAGGGACAGCCAACAGGACGACTTGGGCAACAACAGAAGGGATTTTCAATCCAGAGAACACTCAGCTCCAGTGCTGGCACCTTCAGGGCAGAGCCAGGCTGGAGGGACACGGAGGGGAGGATGTCTCACATCCAGGTGTTAAACCTCTGGTTTTACTAACCAGTGGCAGGGAATGTGCTGGAATTCTCTTCCAATGGGCAATGCAGCTTCTCCTTCAGCCCCGTTGAATCCGAGGTGAGTCTGGACTTCGGTCCAAGAGGGGACTAAAGACAACTATGAAAGACTGCAGCTCCTCACTGTGAGAAACCTGAACTGGGAACCCCCCACTGCAACATGGCTGGAACCTGCCCTTCAGACTCTCAGCACCTTCAGGAGTGGGATGAAGAGAAGCCTTTCTTCACTCAGCACCTTCCACCGTCCTCGCCTGCTCTCGGGTCACACTCTGCCCTTTGCTGCCTGGCTCCAGAGCAGAGGGGCTCCAGCCCCAGGGCCTCCTCTAGACTCTCTCCAGCAGCTCCACGTCCTCGTGCTGCTGTTCCCAGGGCTGGAGGCAGCTCTGCAGGGGGGTCTCACCTGAGACAGGTGATTTGCAAACCAAACCACAGGGACTGTTCGTTTGCTGCACTTCGCCGACCCACAAGACGAGCGTTTCTTCAACAGACTTTTCTTTTTTGCAGTAAAACCTCGACTCTTCTGGTTCTGTTGTGTCACCAGGGCCGGTCCCGTGAGGCCTGAGGTGCACAGACACCGAACAGTGCCCTGGAGGAAGCTAATCCAGGCCAGAGCCAAGGGAGGCGGGACAGGAGCAGAGGCTGGGAGGCTGCAGTCGGATCAGGATGTCTGGGAACACATCCTGTGCTGCAGGGCCACCAGGACAAGAACTCATAACCTTTAATCCACCCCCAAAACCTCCCAGCTAATTTGTCAACAAGTATTTTTAGTAACAACATTTGCTTCATTTTCCCAGGCTCCCCTAAGTGAGAGACTGGAGAATTCCCATTTACACAGATCCCGCTTTCCCAAAGTGCTTCTTTTCTTCCCTTTATTTTTCCCTTCAATTTTTTAATTCCCTTTTCCCCTTCATTAACACCCCCCAGATCTGTTCAATTTCACCCATTTTTATTTTAAATCAGACTTCCTTTCCCACTTCCAAGCTGCCCATCTCCCTGGCCCTCAGTGCTTCCCGGGGGAACAGCCTTGGGAATTTCTGTTTATTTTTCCCTAACCCACCTTCAGTCAGTCAGTTTTTCAATTCACAGCAGAAACAGGGCCCAAAACCTCCGGGATTTTGCCAAATTACAAAAAGTCCCTCCCCCCCACAGCCTTTCCCCACGTTGCTCACATACTGTGTGCAATATAAACACGTGAAAAAATTATTAATGAATTATTCAATGTTTTTCGTCACCCCCTCCCTTATTTTTGATATATCAAACGCTGGGCTTTCCAGGAAAAGCCACAGCTTCCAGGATGTTTTTTATCTCCCAGTATCCACCAGTTTTCCCTTTTATTCTCCCTTCAAGGCTGGACTGTGACTCCCTTCAGAGCTGGAAGCTGGGCCGGATGAATGGAGGCATTTTGTGTGTCCCCCCGAGCCAGGCTCCAGCCTCTGGAACATTCACACAGAGCATGTCTGGAAGATGAAATTTCGGGTTCTAAATGGGCTGGTTTGTTTGAAGGCAGGGTTTGGAGCAGGGAGGGTGAACACATGAACGTCTCCCCACCCTGCGACATGACTTTAGTCCCCCTGGTGACGTTAACCTTTCCCTCCACTGCCAAGGGTTTGTGGTGTTGTTGTTTGAGACCCGCTGCAAAGGCAGAAACCACTTGTGATATGAAACAGAATTAAAAATCAACGTGTAAAACAGCTGTGAAGTGCAGCTGGGAAAGGAACACAGCGTTACAGCCACCTCCAGCTCATCGGCACTCGGGCTGGCGACCAGCACCCCAATCCAGAGAGCTCCCGGGAGAACAGCCTGCCCCCGGAACAGGGCGGCAGGAGAGGTGCCGGGCACACGCTTAGGGGATAATCTGGGAAAGACACTCACCTTCATCTGAGTGCATTCAAGGTTACACAGAGAACACAAATGTGGGAATATTCGCGGCGACGTCGCATAGTAGTCGTTCATCATGGACGGGGTGGGCAGGCGTTTGCTCTTCTGGGAGTCGGAGAACACGGGCAGCCAGGACGCCTTCACCACCCCGAACGGGGACTTGATGGGCCCCTCGGAGTGGAAGCCTTTGTGGCCCCCTCCGGACCTCCCGGAGGCGCCGGAGCCGCTGCCGGAGTCGCGCTGCTTCTGCTCGTGCTGGCTGATGGCGGCCAGGAGCCCGGCGGAGAAGGGTGGCGGCGTCATGGGCGGCAGGACGTGCTGGGACACGGGCGGCTGCACCAGCGGCGGCATCACGGGCGGCAGCAGGGGCTGCGCCAGCGGCGTGGGCAGCAGGGCCGGCATCATGGGCGGCAGCACCGGCGGCATCGGCGCCTGCGACACGGGCGTCACCACGGGCAGCGCGGCGGGCGCCGGGCACAGCCCCGACACCTTGGCCGGGGGGGGCTCGGCCGGGAAGAACGGCGGGGCGCCGGAGGAGTCGCCCTGGAAGCCGGGCAGCTTCATCAGGTCGTCGGCCGGGAACACGGGGTTGCAGGGCACGGCGGGCGGCGGGCCGGGCACCGGCACGCTCTGCTCCCGCGGCACGTCCTCCCTGCCGTCCGCGCCCGGGCCCTCGGCGTTGTACACGCAGGCCTCCAGGGCCGGCTCCGGGAGCCCCTCGGGGCCGTAGGGGCACACCTCCAGCGGGTCCTCGGTGTAGCCGTACTTGCTGGCGTGCCCGTAGTCGATGACCTTGCCCTTGACGGCCGCGCCGCCCGGCTCGGCCCCCCGCTCGTCCCCGCGGGCCGGGGCGCGCGGGCCGGGCGCGGGCTGGCCCATCTTGCGGATGCGGATCTCGCGCAGGATCCGCGGCATGTTCTCCGGGGTCAGCTGGTCGTCGGGGTAGCGGCTGAGCTCCTCCAGGTCCTCGTTGGACAGCCCGAAGCTCGCTAAAATGCTGGAGGCGCTCTCGGGCGTGTAGCGGTTCTGGGCGCTCGAGTTCTGCTCCAGCACCGGCACCGGCGCGGGCGGCTTTGGCGCGGCCGTCCCGGCCGGGCACGGGCCGCTGTCCCAGCGGTTGGGGCGAGGGTCTCCCTTCTGCTCCTGGTGCAGGGTGTTCTTCTCCTTGACCTTCCTGGGATCCGCCCTGTGCAGCGTGACCCGCACGTTGATCCTCTGGGAGCCCGTCCACTGCAGCGAGTCCTGGCCCGGGGGTCTCTGGGGCGCTGCCTGGGGGGCTCCCGGCGCCGGTTTCCTCTGCGGCCCCGCCGCCCCTCCTCCCCCGAAGGATCCCGGAGGCTTGCTGCCCGAGGGGTTGGGTCCCCTGGGCCGGGGGGGCAAGGTTCCTCTGGGGTTAAACATTGCGTCTTTGGGCAATGCCTGGCGGAACCCAGCGTGGGCAGGGGCCGCGCCGCCGCCGGACACCGAGGACCACGACTGCAGAGCCAAGTGGGTCTTAATTTGGGCAAGCTGAAAGGGAGGAGGGCCCAACACAAGGGGGCCGGCAAGGCCAAGGTTCAGGGAATTCACAAGTGGTGCGAAACTTTCCAAGAACAACACAAAGCTGCAAGTTAAAAGACAAGGATTAGATGGTTCGTCTGGTCACCTGCTCACAGCGGGCGAGAAAAGCAACCCAAGGCACAAAACGGGGTCTGCGGGACAGTTAAAAAGCTCAAAATTCTGTTCAACAAAAACATTTAAACATTTTCTTTCACTGCGTAAAACCTTAATATAGAGAACAGGCAATTAAGTCAACGAGTTTTAGCCAAGGAGCTCAAGGTCACAGGTCACACAACCAGAGAGGACACTTGGAACAGCACTGGTTCAAACCTGGCACTTCACTGCCCCAGGACAACAGAGTTTGGGGTTGTTTACAGGTCATTGTATAAGCAATGAGGCAGAGGGTGAAGCCCCTCTCCAAAGGCTGACGAGGGATGGGATGGACTGGAAGTGAAACCATTACATGGAGAACTCAAACCGGTTACAACTCGGTGTCAGGTCGCTGTGGAGCCGCTTCCAGGAGGACGCTCCCATGACACTCTCATGGGTAACAACTACACCCTGCAAGAATTCACGGGGTGTGACAATGCTTGGGTTCTGTGGATAGAAAATTTCCATTTCCCAGATGTTAAAAGCAAGAGCTTAAATCGAAAGGACTCGAAACAGAGAGCTGTAAAATCGTACAGAAACAAAAAAACCATCTAGACACACAGAAAAGCACCATGGCCGTGGGAACTGGGTCTTATTTTGGGGCAAACCACCCAGAGTTCAGTCCTGTAAGGCAGGAAAAGCAGGTACAAATAGAGGGAGAGTAAAATTAAACACCAGAGTTCTGGAAATAGAATCACAGAGTGGTTTGGAAGGGACCTTAAAGACCATCTGATTCCAGCCCCTGCCATGGGCAGGGACACCTTCCACCAGACCAGGCTGTTCCAAGCCTTGTCCGACACGGCTTCGGACACTTCCAGGGATGAAGATTGAGACAAGAAGAGTAAAACAACAGAATTGTGGCAAAGTTCTGGTGCAGCTCCTCGCTGGGAGTCCTCGGTTTAGGGCGAGCACAACAACAGCCAAAACTCAGCGTGTTCTCAGCAGCATCCTCGCCCCCAGCCCAAAACACGGCCCTGCAGGAGCAGCTGCTGGGATTAAAACGTTCCCTCTGCCCCAGCCCAGCCCAGGAGAGCCCCGAACGGCACAACCAGCACAGGCAGAGGCACCCCCAGAGCCCTCCCTCGGCCCGGTCGCTCTGCGGTCCCCAGAACTGCCCGACTGCTGCTCTGGCTCCTGCAGTGACACACGAGGGGTCACGGAGTGTTCCCGGCAGCGTTCCCGGCTCCCGCTGCTCCCGCTGCTCCGGGTTCCTGCACGCCGAGGTTCTCGTCTCGCCAGCCCCAGCCCCGTCACAGGGCTGGTTCTCCAAGCTCGGGGAGGTGACTCCACACAGCAGCTGCTGGCAGGCAGGGGTGACTCTCCCGAGGCGTCACCTGGAAGGACTGAAGTGCTGCAGCCTGAGGACCACGAGGAACAAACCCTACAGGGAGTGACCCACACACGGGCGCTGGAGAGGGTTTTCCAGCTCCGTTCCTGGAGCTCGTTCCTATCTGTGTGTACCTTCTACCAGGAATCACTTTGCTGGGACTAAGTACAGACTGCTCAGGCCAAGGACAAACATCGGTCCTGTTACACACAGGGAGTCATAACAACCACATTCCCACCAGACAGCAATCCCAAAACTCCAGCCTCTCATCCAGGGCTCCTGGCCCAATATCCCTCCTCCCTCCACAAGTTCAGTGGGACTTCAATGGGAGCTGCATGTGGGGCCAAGTTTGCCCAAGACAGTTTCCAAGCAGACACGAACAAACACCCCGAGCCATCTCCTGCCTTTCGGTTTGGGGTTTCTATGGAACTCTCAGCACTGGAGGGCAAAAAAATCCCTCCTGGCCCATTCCTGGGGGAAGCAGCTGGAGAGGGAACACTATCAAAGCCACCCATCGCCAGAACAACCACGAATATTTGAGGAGAGCAAATTTTAAACACAACCAGCAGGTCGGGAATCTCCCAGAGGAGAGAACGAACCAGAATTCCAGCGGGATGAAGTTTTACCAGTAAGGCACCTCCAGGTGGTGCAGGTCAGTGGGTCACCTGTGTGCTGGGAGCAGGGATGATCCCACCCCAGGATCTGGGACCACTGCCACAGCTCATCCCAACACACCTCAGCTCACACCTCCCCAGCCTGGCCAGGGAGGGTGATCCAGGCTGGAATGGGCTTGGAGCAACCTGGGCTATGGAAGGTGTGCCTGGCCAGGGCACTGGGTGGGATTTAAGGTCTTTCCCACCCAAAGCAGTGAGGGATCCCAGGATACACTGCACAGCAGCAGCGTGCAAGGAAGCCACTGTCAGCTGGGGGTCTGGAGTGACCTTTCCGAAGGAAATGCTGGAAACAACAGCAGGAAATGCTGCCTAAGGAAATGCCAAGAGCAAGGAAACAATGGCCAGGGATGTCGGGGGGAGGCTCACCTTCCTCCTCACAGCAGCTTTGTTTGGGGGGTGCCTGAGCCGGGGCACTGCTGGGACAGGGACACCCCGGCATTCCCAGAGCAGGGACCGAGCCCCGGGCTGGGGCGGCAGTGCCAGTGGAGCCACGGGGTGGTCTGGGTGGGAGAGACCTCAGAGCACACCCATCCCACCCAGGGACACCCCCGGCATTCCCAGAGCAGGGACCGAGCCCCAAGCTGGGGTGGCAGTGCCAGCGGAGCCACGGGGTGGTCTGGGTGGGAGAGACCTCAGAGCACACCCATCCCACCCAGGGACACCTCCCACCAGAGCAGGGTGCTGTGAGCCCCGTCCAGCCTGGCCCTGGAGGAACCCTTAGGGGAAGAGCAGGGAGCTGGTGTGGGTGGAGGGGGGATGAGAGCACCCCCGGCACTGCCGACGTGTCCCAGTTCCTCCCAGTGCCCAGCCGGACTGGAGCACAGGGGCTGCTCACACCCAGCCCAGTAGCCCCCTCACCCACTCCTGTCCCTGTCCCCAGCCCCCCCAGGGCCTCGTGGAGTCCAAGCTCTGCGTGCTACAGGTCAGAAGGACCGATCCCGACCCCCTGGGGCCGTGTCCATGGTCACTGTGAGCACCAAACACCCGGCACAACACACAACACGGACACCAACCCCGACACCCCCCCGGGGCAGTGCCAGGCCTGCTCTGGCACCTCAGGACAGGGCGGAGGTGGATTTCTGGAGTCCCCTGGAAGGTTTATCAGAAGAGGAAGTCTGGTGAGCCACTGGAAGGAGAATTTTCTGATTTGTCCCTATAAATAGCACGGAATTTTCTGGCTCTGTGCTAATTGCAGAGCAGATAAATAAAGATGGCCCTGCACCCCCCAGGCTGGGAGAGCTGCTGTGCCTGTCCCGTGAGCTGCTCCAGGACTGACCATATCCCCAGGGATGGGGCCAGGGCCACCTCCCCTCGCCACAGCCCAACAACCAGATCTCTTCTGCAGGTTCCTCGGTGTTCCTCTGACAGTCAAACCAGCCTCTGGAGGGACCTGGATTCTCCTCTTCCTTGCTGTTCCCGGCACAGCGATGGTGTCCGGTGGGAGCTGAGGGGCTCCACCTGCCCCAGCCCCTGGCAGAGCCCGTGCTCCCTCAGGGGGGACTCCTGGTCAGGTCATTCCTCATCCAGCTCCTGCCACGGCAGCCTGGACACGCCTCCATCAGGCTCAGGAAGTGGCAAGGCATTCCCAGCCATCCTCCTGCACCTGGAGCAGCGATCCACCCTCCGGGACGGCCCCACCATCCCGGGCACTGCCCACCGGGGTGTTCCATGCTGGCACCACCCGGATCCCGGAGCCCTGGGACTGTCCCTCGGGAGCTTCCTCAGGTGCCACACAAGGCGCTGCCCCTGCCAGCACAGACACAGACCCTGCAGGGGCACCCACCTTCAGCAGGACGTGCCTCCCTCTGCTTTATCCACTGTCCATCCATGGTATCCCTCGATCCAGGGTTGCTCCAGATCCTCTGAGGGTGCTGAGCTCAGCCCAGGTGAGCCCAGCCCAGGTCCAGATCCAGCCTGGCCCTCCCTGGTCTTGGCAGAGCCAGGGCAGCCCCTCCTCCGGGTGCTCTGTCATTCCAGCAGCATCCCCTGCCCGCTCAGGGAAAGATTCCCAGGATAACAGGTGAAAACTGCTCCCAAATCCTCCCACACCTGGGCCACCCAGGAGCTGCCTCCGGGCACACTCCTGCTGCCATCTCCAGATCCAGCAGGATCTGAGCTGGGATCTGAATTCCAAGAGCCAAGACCAAGCCCAGGCTCCCAGCTCCCAGCACCGGGAATGCTCTGGACACACCAGGACACAGAGGGGTGTCTGCAGCACGGCAGGACCTGTCCTGGAGCAGGAGGAGAGAGGCAGGAGGGCTGTTTGCCCCCAGGGAATGGTGCTGGAGCACCTGGATGGCAGGAACAGAGGCCACATCCCAGCCCAGGCTCCACAGGCTCCCGGGATCCTGAGCTTCCCAGGGCAAAGCAAACAGCAAAGCTGAGCTGGAATTCCAGAGCCCAGCAACAGGCAGAGCCCAGCAACGGGCAGAGCCCAGCAACGGGCAGCTGAACACCGACCCCAGAATGGACCAGGGGTTCTTGGGCCCCAAAAAAGCACGGGAAGGGAAAGGAAGCACTTAGGGAAGAGAACTCCTGGCAGAAGATAAGGACAATGTGCCGGGGGAAGGAGACAAAGGCCAAGCCAAGGCCCTTGTTCCTCCCCTCCCACTGCACAGGACAGCACCCTGGGAGCCAAATTGCCCCTGTCCTCCCTCCTCTGTCCCGGTTTCACCGTGGGGCAGGACACTGCAGGTGTGGAACATCCCTCCAGCCGGGTCTGGAACATCCCTCCAGCCCCTCCAGGCTGCAGCCCTGCCCTTCCCAGCCCAGGCTGCAGGGAAGGCCTGACCTCGGCCGAGCTCAGCTCAGCCCAGACC